ACAAAATGAAATTGTGTACCATGATATTCCTTGGCGGCTTTCACCAGATTGTCCCAATCGAGGCCGGAGTTGTTCGTGTCTGGGAGGGGAAACACCTCGGAGGTCAGGTCGTCTGAACTGGCCGATAGACCTGTCTGTCTGCCATCTCCTACGAAGGTCAAAGGTCAGAGGTCAAAGGAGTGATATGGGATGAAGCAACATCAGAACGTCTCTTAGCGATTTGACCATAAAGTATTTCAGTTACATTCATGAATATGGCTATCAATACCAAGTTACCATAATGGATGTAAGCTACAAGAACTTATTGCATTTAACCGGTCGTGAGAAGCTGGGACCTGGGGAGTGTTTCACAAAGACTAAGATCAAATTTAAGTTCGACTTCACTATGACAGGCTGCTCATGTCACTGTTTGCTCTCACCATTTACTGGCATTGGTCACTCAAGGGACGTACAAATCACGGCCACAAATCTACTGAATTTACATTTTTTGATAATTCATTATTGAAGGAATAAATATTATCCAAAGATCATAATGGTGGGAGCAAACAGTGGCATGAACGGCCTGCCATAGTTAAGTCCCACTCAAAGTTGATCTTAGTCTTTGTGAAACATTCCTCAGATGTATTTACATTAAATGCTTGATGACAATTTGACTGCAAAATTATTCTTGTTTATTACATTTGACATTCAACTGATAATCACACTGAACATTGCAGTCAAGCACGTCAATATGTGTAGAGCTTTACAAGATACAAAAACAAGTGCAAGTATACTTGGTAGACAGATGTATATACATTTAAATGGTTGATATATTTAAATGGTTGGTACATTTAATTCAATTTTCATTCTGAATTTGTCAATATTTTTGTTTCCACCATTTCTGATCTTCAAGTTCATTATTAGAGCCTCCCTTCACATTTCTGCTTCGATTCCAGTTCTATCAACAATTACAAATGCTGTATTATTTCTTTTCTTAATGCATCGCATGAGACAACAACTGTATAAGACAATACTAGGTACATGTATACACCATGATTATAACACTTGTATATAAACATTTAGCAGTAAGTCTTGATCATGCATTTATGCACAAATAATGACAACATTAAGCACAGCCAAAGTTACATGCAACGGGAACAACAACAAATGAATTTACATTTAAAACAGCTGGCCTAATGAAGCATGAATATTTCATTCCACACCCTAAGAATAGCTCATTGTATCTTGGTAACCATTAGAGCAGTATCAAGCTGCTAGTTTGAACCTTATCACAGAAGTGACCTCTCTTTGTGTTCATGGGTTTTTAAAAAAAAATCCTAGGCATCGTAATAATTAATAATAATCATAGGTATTTCTTTAGCGCTGTCTATCTAGAAATTCTATTTCGAGGCGCACTAATTATTACCCCAGCTTAAGCCTAACAGCCATTACAGCGCTCCAGCATTTCAAGGAATTAATTCCTGCCAGGTACCCATTTACCTCACCTGGGTCGAGTGTGGCAAATGAAGATTAATGCCTATCGTACACATACACAGAGCTATAACTTCACCCTAAGGGGTATATTTGAATGCAATGATTCAGGGGTAACTTGATCTGTACGAAGGTGCACAATATTGCACAGATGAGAATAATTCAGTATAAAGGACAGGACAATAATAGATAGATATGGTTATAATGAACAGACGGGAAAGAAAGGGGCATGGTATTGGGAGGGGGAACAAGAGATAAGAGAGGGACAAGAGAGGGCAGCAGATAGACTGTGAGCGTCAAATAGAGGAGGTGGAGTAAATAGTACTCAGAGAGAGAGAGAGAGAGAGAGAGGAGAGAAACAAAGAGACAGAGAGGCAGTCAGACAGAAACACAAAATGAAAAACCAAGGACAGAGACAAAAACAGAGAGAGAGAGAGAGAGCAAGAGAGCGAGAGCAAGAGAAAGAGAGAAAGAGAGAGAGAGAGAGAGAGAGAGATAGAGGGGGGGGGGGGAATGAATAAATGAGATGAGGGAAGGAACTAAATCCAAAATGCAACTCTTTTCAAACCATCATCTTCCAACCAATCCCTTACCATGCAACATGGTCTTCTCAGCTTGCATCTGGCTGGGCATGGCTCCGGACTGCGTACTGGTGAGGATGAACTCTGACCTGGGCGTCGGCTGGGACTGCTTCCTCTGCCGGGGGTACGTACCGCTCACATGGTTGGGCAGGCTCTCCTCCGAGACGGTCCGGTTCAAGGGAGGGGGCTGCGAGTTCAGCATGGGGGTCGTAATCGGTTGAGCATTCTACAGCGAGAGTAGGTGAGAGAGAAAGAGAGAGTGAGTGACTTGATATACATACATTTATTTCCACCCAGGAATGTTCATCTAAAGATTTCAATAAAGTAAAAACTAGTCAGTTTACAAGAAACTGCAACCAATTTCACATTTCCTTCTTATAGTTTCTACTCTTTCTACTTCTTTAAATCATAAACCTAAATTTTCTGACATATCAGAGGTTTGTACTTTCTTTATATAATTTTTAGAAGAGATTATACAAAATGAAATGATTACATCTATACAGTAAATATTAGCACAATAGAAATGATTAATAATCTTACAAGAATACCAAATCCCCAAAGTGCTTTATTAGTATTGCCAGATAAGGTAATAACCCAATATATTTCATACAGTTAACACCTTGATTATACCAACACCTAGTAAATTTGATGGGTTTCTTTATTTTATTTTTTTGCGACTCAAGATTGAAAGGTTGATTGGTTTAATTAGTACATTTGTTGAATAATTTTAAGATGTAAGCTTTAATTGTCACATTCTTAAGAAACATATATTGGGATAAATCAATTTTTCACATACTTAAAAAATAACAAATCTCGGTAAGGGTATGAATAATTTAGTTGTTAACTGTACAAGTTAAACACTACAGCCTACATTTTTTTCTACTAACATGAATATCTTGGGTTTACGACATCATGCCACTCAAACGAAAACAGCCAAATGTAGATTTCAAAAGCACCAAGAGTACATACCTAGCAACAACTTCTACTCCTTTATGAACCGACTTAAATCTCATCTGACATCTAAAATCATGTACATGTATATGCAAATTAAAAGCACCTCAGAAGCCCATTAATGCTAAATTCTAAAGACAGGCCAGTTTATCTCTGAATCCTACATCTTAAAAGCATTCAATAATCTACCCACTTTAATAGACAAGAAAACCCATGCAGAGCAGTGTAGAAAGCAATTCCAGCAAGAACCTTTGCAATTATGACCCCCCCCCCCTCCCCCGCCCCGCCCCCCAAAAAAAATCTTCCCAATTATTACAAAGTGTGCACAATGTAAAGTGATATGATTTTGTTCTTATCTATAGAATTCCCATTGCATCATACAAATTGTTATTATATGATTATTTTACATCACCTAACAAACATCAGTAGCTGATCCGGCAATTAGGGTTTTTTAAATTCCTTTTGCATCACTTCTCCTCTCCTTAATGGTGATTTATTTTCCCACTCCCATGTAAAACACATTTGTTTATGCATTACAGATTAAGAGTGCAGCAAGAATAAACCCACATATGGACAAAAAGATATGAATTTATTTACTACAATTATCTAATACTGCAAATCCCAAAGTGCTCTTCTAAAACAGTTTCCCGAAGTCCTCCAATAACACAAATGCGAACCCTGTGTGCACTGTGACTCAGTACGGTGACAACATATTTCAAGAAAGATATTTATCCCTTTATTTTTAGATGGATTTGATTTGTTATAAACAGCCCTGTTACAGCAACAACAAAAATCAACTTGAAACTCAAAGGCGAATCCCATATGTGCTCCCCCTGGTATATATGCCAACCCCAAATGCACCGTGACCTGTTAATATGACAATATATTTCAAGAGAAAGATATTTTAGATGGAATTAATCTATTTAAAACAGTCTTATTACATAAGGATAAATTTCTAACTCCTAAACTCAAAGGTGAATCCCATATGTGCTCCCCTTGTATATATGCAACCCGAAACGCACCGTAACCTGTTACCATGACAACGTACTTTGAGAGAGATATTTACCCCCGTATTAGGCACACGTGAGATGCAGATTTGGAAGTGCGGAGTTCGATTAGTAGTAGAAGAAGTAGCCACGATGTGTTCCTCCTCGGAACCTGCCTCTTGGAAGGAGCCTGGAATGGTTACCATGGTAACGGCAGGGGTGGAGGAGGTGGGGGATGGGAGAGGACTGTGGAAGGCGGAGGAGGAGGGGTGGGCTTGGGCGGGGCCATCATGGTGGCCGTTTGAGATGATCTGGGGGTTGCCGGCCACGTTAATGGTAATGGAAGATGTGTGTCGGCCGTCTCCGTTCATTCTCTGTGTGAATTATATTATGTAGTCGTTTATTTTTTGAACAAGTGTTTCATGTAAGTGGCATGTCATTATGTCGAGAGTAAATTGAAGTTGTTTTGACAAAAGGGAAGAAAAAAAATCAACGAATGCCAATCGATGTATGATTGGACAGGTTTTTAGAGGAGATATAGTTCACGAAATATCGTTTTTGTAGTAGTATATAGATGGAAGATATGTTATTATTGTTGTCCAGATATAAACGATGAAATGTTAGATGGGTATACATGCAAGGGCATTCATGTTTAATGTTAGTATTATACATGTGGCAAGAGTAGTATCAATGAATTCATTCCGTTTAGTGATGTAATACAGGAATGAGCAAAGATACAAATACGGTATCGTAAAATGAGTTGATGATTAAAATGAATCATGAAATGTTGAATGGCATTACACATGAATTGTATGATTACAAACAGGCAAACAACCAAAGGTCAACATTTTACAGGTGATTTTTTTGGTTTTTTTATTGGAATGAGATAGCATGAAAATATATGTAAGTACATATATATATACAGTTGATTCAAATGTATACATTTGGAAATGACATGACATCACAATGCACATTGACAATACAATGAAAACAAACAAGACAGATAATGGAATGTTTGATGAGAAATTATTATTACCACAATGTCAACATTCAAGATAAATATATATGTGTGTCAAAGGATATTATGGGATAGTGATTCATAATATATAATGTGCAGAGTAAATAAATTAGTAGGGATGTTAGTGAGCAAATAGGGGGGTATTGACAAGGATTTTAAGAGTGGTATTAGATCAAGGGTTAGGAATCGGGGTAAAAAGGAATGTGTTTGAAGGTGTGAAGGGATAAAGAGAAAAGCAAAACAGAAACATATACCAGAAAATTAGAAAAAGAGTCTTCTCTCTCAGTTAGGCTATATAAAACATTAGGTACAAAATTATCTACAAATGTACAAGGCAGCCACGATACTACCACTAAAACATTAGAAAACTATTTAACGACCTCCTGTTATAATTGAGGACTAATTCATTAGTTATTTTGTACTATAAATTATCTATCAAAGAAATTTTAAGCATAAATTACCATTGTGTCATAACTATAGATTAAAGTCATAATTCCCATATTGCAAGCATTATTATTTTACACCAACATATTTATCAAGTACACATTCCCCTAATACATAATACAATCGTTTTCAAATTTTCAGTATAAAGGCCTTAACATGGTCACAAACATCAAAATTATATATACAAGATTACATTGCACACACATAGGGAGATAGTGAAAGAAAATACACATAGTGTTCAATATATATATATGTCATACTCATAAATTACTTTAAAGCATGACTATTATCATCATATATGAAGTGGTACAAAACTCCCCTCCTCTCACGTTAACTAGCTAGGTTTCACTTGAATTATGATATCCTACAAATTTAGTTAAGTTCATATTTTTGCAATCAAACCAAAGATGACCACCTGATAAAGTAGATTTTTTTTTGTCCTTCAAAAAGAGCCCATTGCATAGAATTAGTACCAGAAATGTAATACCCACTTCACAAAAATTTGCTTCATTAATGGGAACTAGATAATTCATATGCAGTTTTTGTACAATCAAACAAATCTAACTCAAATACTTTCAATTAATAATTAATGACTGCCAAACTTCAATGCAGATGATTACCATTGGAAGCCTCCTTTAAGGGGGATATTGTTATATGTGTATATTATAAATTGTATTAGTATGACAAATAACATTTGAAGTATACTGTATTGCAATACTACCCTTGGAAGACTTGCTTGTTATGTTATCCACCAAATTACATTAAACATATCTACAGTTCCACATTAACAACATTTCATTGATCCTACCACACACATTTGATTTATTCATAATTCATGAATCCTTTTTTTAAAAGGCAACCATTATATACATTCAAACTATTTTCAATTTTATATCAAATCCTATTTTTAAAGAATCAATTTACAGTAGAGAGTTACAAAACATGGAATTAGAAAATAAGGAATATCACTTTTGGTATTTGCTGGCCAAAAAAATTCTAGACTACATCACAACAAACAGGTGTTGTAACAGACATGTAACAGACAAAAGACAGATACTACCATAGCGACTTGAGAGACATAGTTGCATCACAAAAAATTATCTGTAAGTAATTTGTATCAGTGAATTTGTGCCTGTGTATTGTTCATTAATTTCAAGTAGACCGCAGAGAGAACTATTCAGGGGCCCCGTGTCATAAAACTTTATCTATAACAAATGCTTAATTTCTATGTTAAATTTGCTCTCAGCCAATCAGATGTCTTGATTTCAGTAGCTTATAACAGTAGCTTGTAACTTGTTATTGATATAAAGTTTTATGAAACAGGGCCCAGAGCTCCATGGACTGGCCTACAAACAAGCGCGTACGGATGGCACAACTATATCTCTCAGTCAGCTATGGATACTACATCAGTGCCCCTCTAAACCCACATCATGAACCAGCGTTGGCTTTGTTCCCTACCTCCTTCTTCTCCCTCTCCAGTGCAGCGTTGTACGACTCGGGGGCCAGGAGCTTCCGCAGGTCGTCCTGGACCCGATTGTTGGTGTGGGCCGCCTTGAGGGGCGTGGTCGCGCCGCTCCTGATGGTGGGCGTGGTGGCCGAGTTGACCCGTGACCGGGCAGCGAGGGACTCGTTGGATGACTTGTGGCCATCTAGCGGTCTTCTGAATGTTGAATAAGGTAAAATATAACAAAAATATTACAGTCAAACCTGCTTTAGTGACCACATGTATAGAAAGATCACCTGTCTACAAAGACCACATTTTTTGTCTCTCTTCGGTGGTCCTTATAGACAGGTTTTACTGTAATAAGTTTGAACTGCCTGCAGATAAGAGTGAGTTTATGACAATTCTAACAATATTCTCTTTTTCAGGTTATCATTTCCACAGCAAGGAGTATCCTTACAAAGGACTATTGACTTCCCGCTGTGTTGATGAAAAAGTAAACAAACTCAGGAAACTCCACAAATAGTTTTACAATAATCATGAAAACTAGAGAGAAAAAAAAATTTAAGTGGTATGAATTCTCAGCAGGGACATTGACAAATGCAATTCTACCATCTAACATATCGATATGAACAAAAGATAACTCCCCTTAAACCAATACTTGCTTGTGGCTTATGTAGTGTCTTTCATCAATCTCTGACATCTCCAATTTACATAAATATAATCAGTAATTCATCAACCTTCTTCAGATTTAAAGGCCCCCTGCACTAGTTTGGCATGGACGGATTAGACCTCCCTGCAAGGTCACTGGCAGGTGTTTATCTCATCAAATCAGCTCTCAATTAACAAAAAAAAAGGGCATCATGGGGGATCAACGGGTAACGCTTAGGCATTGTTGGCTGTATAGAGGGCGCAAGTAGCTATAAGTAGTGCAGTGGGGCTTTAATGCAAACACAAAAGCGTAAAACATACCTTCTGGCCATCTTAGGGCTTGTGCTGGACTCGCTCATACTACTACTGGAAGATGCAGATGGAGCCCCGCCCCTCCTGTGCAAACTGGCAAAGTCACCTGACGCCCCTGCCCCCGCCCGCCTGGGACTCTGTGCCCTCTTCCTGACCGTCTCGGGGCTCTGTGCGGACCTCCCCGGCATGGGGCTACGGGCGGGGGACTGTCTGCTGCTGGCCCTCAGGCTCCCGTAGTCCCTCGATGCCCCTGTACCCGAGCCTCCGGAGAGGGTGGAATGGGTGGAGTGGTCACTGATGTTGCTAGGCGTGGCATGGTGGTGTGGAACGATGCCTGCGAGGTGGTTGGGGCGCTGAAGCCTGGGTTGCTCCATGTCTATACCCTCTCTGCTTCGTGACTGGAGGAGGAATTAAAGACATTTCAATCAATATCTGGTTTGAGAAAAGCCCCAAAATGCAAAGTGCAAACAGTTTATCAATAAGGAAACTGAATTTACCATGTGATTCTGGGATATTGGTAGTCCTTTTATCAATTAGCCTGAAAAAGGCCAAGATATAATTATCTTGAAAATCCAGCTGCAACCCTTATCAAATATCCTTGACGGAAAGAAGCCTAGAGCAACTGTTGCAGGAACAAATGTTTGAGTACTATTTGACTAGATTTTAAGTGTTTAAAGAACAGACTGAAGTCAACAGAAGGCATAAAGCAACTATTGCAGGAGCAAAGGCAGAGCACCGGGATCCGTTTCACAAAGCCTTTTTTCAATGACAAATATGCTGATAACCAATCAAAAGCAAGGATTTCAGTAGCCTGATGACAAGTTTTGTGAAAAGGGCCCCTGATCATGGGGCCCTATCAATGTGGCCCCCCTTCCTTACCTGGTAGAGCTGCTCTGTGGGGCTGTAGCGCTCAGCCATTGCATAGTTACTCAAATTCTCCTCCTTGATCCCCTGCTGTGATAGGGGTACGGTGGAGGGCGTGGTCGCGGGGTTGGTGCGGTACATGCCCTCGGGGACATCCTTGGAGACGGGCACACCGTTGTCATGGTAACCGTTAGCATCGTCTCCGGCATCGTACCACTTCTCGTCACTGGTGTTGGTCGATAGGGTATCTCCACTGCTGGTGTGCTTTATAGTGGCCTAATGATAATAATAAAAACAATAATAATAATATGTCTTGTTTTATCCAGGGTAGCCTCATCAGTATCCATACTACCATATCATTACCCTGGCTGATGATTTTAAAATATCAAAAAGATTGAAAAATGTATGATTTTAAACGGTCATACATACAGGGTTGGGGGAATGTCTAGGAAAACAAATTGGACCAAAATAGAGGTTATTATCTACTCAGCAAACATTTAAATTACTGGGAGATGCATAAAGAAAGAAAATGATTGAGTTTATATAACTAAGTATAAAAAATTTAGAATATGATAAATAGCTCCCATGATCAAAATCAAATATTGAAATAATTAGGGAATATAAATAAATAATCATGTGATGACAATTCAAGGTACAACCACATTGCAGTGTAGTCCGAGAAATGTTTGGAAAAATTATGTAAGAAACTTACCTGAGCTACATTATGAAGTGGATATCTAGCCTTGGGAGTGACAAACTGAGGCTGTTGCTTGTCCTGTTCTCGGCCCCTATCCTGGGGGTAGAGGTTGGCTTCGTTGTGTCCCTGCCAGTCAGGTTTGGTCACATCTTTGTATACTGAAATATAGACATATATTCAATGTTATCAACCAAGGTCATGAGCAGTCTTACAAATTAGTGACTTTTGAAAATCAAGGCACCCTCTTTTGAAGTGCATTGTATTATAGAGGCTATATCAGTCTTCATTTTTTAAAGTAATCACCAGAGAATTTTTTTCTGGCCTGTTACATGCTTAGCATTGGGGTACAAAGTTTGTATTAATTGATAGTCAACGCTGAGTGATGCCAAAGTGACAATTTTACCAATTTGCCAATGTGGTCTCTACATCAAAAAAAATATGCATTCTGTTTTGTAATTTATTTATTTTAATTCAGCATTGCAAGGTAAATTGGACAAAATAAAGACTGAACTGAATTTAAAAGAAAATATATTTTCAAATTAAAAGAATGTTGTTAATCACTTAGCATTAGACAACATCACTCTATGTATTTTGAATTGTAAGACAACAACCTTAGAACTGAACATAAAGCTTGACTGGCATCTTTGATTTTATTACTTTTCTCTCATAATTGGTCATTTTTGACAAAGCAAACATCCATCTCATATCCTATAAATTATCATACTCTAGGGTGACATTATTATAAGCATAAGTGTAAAGGCATCATTTTATATCGGTTTTCAGAATTACTTTACTACTAAAAAGAAAATTAGATTTTCGGCTTTAAATCTATAACAAAAGAAAAGAGCACAGTCCTTGAAATGGGTCAAATTTTGCTCTGGGTGCTTTTACAAATTTTCATGGATCATTTTAAAAGCAGAAGGTGCAAGTAACACAAAATATTTAAACTGTGTTATTCATTTTAGTTGCAAATTATTTGCTTTTATAATAGATGCAGATAACAACATTTTTTCTATGGTTAAGCTTACATTTGATTTTATAACACATTCATGTTTATGTTAACGTATTGTCTCTTTGGGCAAGGACAACTTCCAAGAGGTTAGATAAATCATAATTCTGAATAATATCTTCCACTCCATCACAAAAGAAACACCTTATTACTGCAAGCCCGAGACATGTCTAGCAAATATATTTTTTTAATATAATACCGGTAGTAGTGTCATCTGTGATGCCTACAATATACAATCATCAAACATTCCAAAGCATGTCAAAATGACCCACACCCAATTCCAACCATCTACTCAACACACATCAGTCTACAATCAAGTAAGGGTACAGTATTCCTTTCACTCCTTCGAAATCTGAAAGAAGTTTAGAACAGACTGGTGTAGAACAGACTGGTGTAGGAGTGAGGCCAATTAATTTAAAGCAGGACTGCACTACTTGTAGCTACTTGCCCCCCTATATATAGCAAACAATGCCTACGGGGTACCCGTTGGTCCCCTATGGTCCCCTTTTTCTTATGTTAATTGAGAGCTGATTTGATGAGATAACCACCTGTCAGTAACCAACCGTCAGTAACCACCTGTCAGTGACCACGCAGGGAGATCTAATCCCTCCTGGCCAAATTAGTGCAGATAGGCTTTAAAGCAATTGTAAATAGGAATGACTGCTCCCATTCAAATAGACCCTTAAATCTACAAGTTTACGCATGTATTTCAAAATCAATACCTATTTCCTCAACAATAACTGTTCTTGATGAGCTCATATTTTTGCCTTTCCAATCCATAGCGAGTTTTGACTGAAACTTGTGTTTCATAAAAACATCTCTAAAAGTCATGGTAAAACAAGATGAACCTGTAAAATGAAAGCAGCTCATAAATATTTGAACGCAGTGTTTGGAGTTGCCAATTTGCAATTCATAAAGTATAAGGGTGCGTGCAGCCTTTGCGTATCGAGTGAAATCCTTGTGATTAAAGCGAGTGCTGAGTGACTTCAAGATCTCACCCTTAGTTCGATGCTTAACATCAATTGGAGCTGACAGACACCTGTTCAACGCTGATTGCAGTAGAGCAAAAAAATCATCAATAAATTTCCGTTTTCCAGAGATAGAACCATTTTTCTTTATTTAAAGGCAAAGCTAAAGACGGTTCTATAGATAAAACACACCTTTTAGTATTTTTGAGAGCTTGAAAATCACTTCAATTGATGATCTATGTACATAAATTTCACATCAAATTCTTTTAAGTTAATGTTAAATTACATGAGTTTTAGTTTACTACTCCGAATTCACCAGATTCAATTCAATAATGTATTGATCACTTTGGTTTCTCAATTAGAGCGACCATAATACATTGTATTTATGAAGTGATCTCTGCCTGGGATTCTCGATTTAGTTTGTTTGTTAATGCCTGGAGAATTCACAATATGATATTGGAAGAGATTACACTTGAGTGACACATGGATTCTAGCATGTAGACCTGCATATAAGGTTTAAAGATAAAGTTGAGTTCTGGTCATGCGATTGCATTGTGAAAGAAACGTCATGGAATCTATCAGAAAAGGTTGATCATCTAGCATATAAGTATTGGTGTGTACTGGAAGGTTCTGGAATCATCAAAATAATAAGAAATTTGGCCTAGTCTTGGTAAAGTTACAAGCACTGTACACATAAAGATTTATATGGGACTACACAAAACATGTGGCATAAAAATCTGTCCCAATTTTTATGATGCTACATGCCATATTTAGAATATTAAGGCATTTGAAGAGCCATGCTTTTCAGGGAACATTTTTTCTCTGATGTTCTTCCATACATGCAGAATAACAATGATAATGCTCAAAAATTATTTTTCACTTCTTCCCAGAACTCAACCTTCTCTTTAATGATAGGATGATAAAAGAAATATAAACCAATGTTATGTTGTACCTCTATTCCTGTATTTATCGAGACTGTCCTCCAGGGATCCCTGCCTGGAGTGGGCTCCAGTCCCGATCCGATCCAGCTCCTCCTGTGAGCTCCGGAGCCTCGCCTGCTTGTCTGCAGGTCTCCTCCTCTGCTCCCTGGCGCTCCTCCTATCATGCACCATCCTCATGAAGGAGCGGTCCCCAGAATCCTGGGACAACCCCCTACTGTGACCACTCCCGCCGCTGGACCCACCCCCCTGGGGCAGGGGCGCGATCCCATCACCGGTGTTAGCTTGCTGATGGGCGCGGGCGTTCACCTCCTTCCAGTAATCGACGGCGGCGCGGTAGGGGTGCTGTTTCTCGGAAGCATCGGGTGGCGGATCCACGACGTTGATGCGACGCTCGAAGGTGGAGATGGCCGAGCGCACGCTGCCCTTGGCGGGTAGACCCTCCTCGGTGGTGCCCGGAGGATAGATGGGTGTGTTGGGGGCTGAACGCAGCATGGAGATTGGTTGCCCAGGGGTGGATGCTGATCGGGAATGTAGTGATCCCTGTCTTAGATCTGGGGAGGGGGCGGGGGAATTAAAGTTACAAGACAAAGAAGAACAATTAATCTTTGGTCAATTCTTTCAAAAAGCAAGAAAAAGTACATCTGTTTCTGTAAATTTAATTCGTATAAAAAAATAATAACTCTATTCCTTCAAAAGGTACTCTCTTTAATGCAAAGTACGAAATAATTTAAACTACACTAGATAATGGATACATCAATCTATTCTTTCACTGCTGCTTTCAATTAAATAAAAGTCTACTAGATGTTTAATAATATCCTGAAAGCTGAACCCATTAGATACAATGTTGTTGTTTTTCTAACACAGATCATAAGGTGTCTACTTTCTTTGAAACAGAACAGCAGTATCCACAGGGTCAAGGATATAAAGGTAGATTCATCGATCATTCCATTGTTTTAAAGTTTGGGATGAAAGAATAGATGTAGACGCCTACCTCTGCTTGACATAGCCAGAGATGAGGAGATCTTATGAGGTCCTTTGCCGCTGCTTGTGCCTCTGTTGAAGCCTAGCCTAGCCCCTCCCGGCTGGGTGACTGCTTCACTGTTACCCATGTACTCGATTGGTGTGCTTCCTCTGTGGGGATAAGAAAAGAATAGTTTAAAGTTGTCACCCAAAGAATCAAAAGTGTTTTGAATTGATGCAAACTTCATATCATTGCGAAGGGGAAGCCTTACTGATCAATTATAACAACTTCCCTCTTCAAAAATCATCATAAATCATCTCTCAAAAATGTTGATTTTGAGATCAAGATTTTCTGCCTTCAGCGGTCCTCCGTAGAGCGTCAAGATTTGTGACGTCACATACGGGACACAGTTAGCCACAAAATTTCATTTTACACCTTTCCATGATATCTATATGATTTTCAGCAAATTATTTACGTTTCTCATGAGAAAATATTTCCATCTGATACCTAGAAGGCTGGTGTTTACAATTTGTACATGATTTTGCCCGAAGCCTTTCCATATCTATGTTTCAGCCCACCTTCCCTCTGCCAAGTCGCCAATGGTTTGTTTCAATTATTTGTTTTTCTTTGTAAATGTAGAATTAACAAACCTTCTTGGACTTCCATCTTCACAAGGTGGTACCACCACGACCTTGACCGTCTGAGAGGTCCGTAGTAGATCTATCATCTCCTCGTGGGTCTGGGTACATACAGCTATCTCACAGATCTAGTAGGACGGAAGGAAGACAAAAAAAAATAATTAAAGGCATCGTTTAACAATGTTAAATCCGAGATGCATGGCCCTACATGTTATTAGTGTCTGTGATATGGTGTAATATTGTAGCCCTAACAAAATTGCGCTTCAAAATGATCATGAAGTGCTTGACAAATCTTTGAGCGACCAGTTTTTACCATACGTATTTTCCCCAATAAACCGTAGTGTAAAAAAAAAAATTGGGGAAAAAACGTCTTTGTAATTTCAAATTCCAATCTTAAATATCTTGATATAACAAGCGATTGGCTTGGAAATGTCATGGGATTCATTTGTAACCTAAAGGTTTATAATTATGATTGTAGTATGAGCTTAATCCAGGATTTTGTTTACAATCAGAGGCAAAGTCACCTAATACCTTTAAAACTGAATTGCCTGGACTTCAATATCAAGCATGACACCATTCCAAGAACTGTACATATTTCTTGATTTATAATGTGATATATGTTTGTATCTCACCTCAACAAGTCTTGCTCCTTTCCGAAGGCCAGCTTGCCAAGCGAACCCATACGGATCTACCTCCACCACGATCCCCTGGTAGTGAACATGGAAGCCCAACTGACCTAGACCGTTCCGCCTCAAGGTGATCTCTTTGGTCTGCAAGATAAAAGAGTATACAATGAAATAAAATCTTAAAGCCTGTCTATACTAGTTTGGCCAGGAGGGATTAGACCTCCCAGCATAGTCCATGACAGGTGGTTATCTCATCAAATCAGCTCTCAATTAACATAAGAAAAAGAGGATCATGGGGGCCAACATGCACCGCTTAGGCGTTGTTTTCTATATAGAGGGCGCAAGTAGCTAGAAGTAGTGCAGTGTGGCTTTAAACTTGATGAATAAATAAGGCATGATAGTTTCTTACAGGGTAAGTCCTTTATACTTGTAGACAAGTAACCAAACAATAAATTGCTTCAGATCCAGTAATCATGCATCAAACAATAGAAATTGGAGACGGTGTTTCCTTGATGCACAATAGTCATATTAGATTTAAATTTAAATAGAGATAAAAGTTAATAGGAGACCAAAAGACAGAGAGAAAGAGAGACTGGGCAAGAGGCAAACAGAGATATTGGCATAGAGTAATATTAAAACAGAGACAAACCTTAATTATTGCCAGAGAGTGAGAGGTAAAATTATAATGAAGTGTTCAGCATCACCTGTGCCTGAGAAAGGAGAAGAGACCTTAATCACATGTCCCTCCTCCTGATACAACTAAATAAGAGTTCAGGGACCCGTTTCACAAAGCCTTTTTCAATGACAAATGACACAAAAAAAAATCAGTGACAAGACTGCTGATAACCAATCAGAAGCAAGAATTTCAGTAGCTTATAACAAATACTGTCATTTGACACTGATGACATGTTTGGTGAAACAGGCCCCTGATCGACCACTACATCTTAAAGTCAAGAGGTTCAAGGCACACTTACCCTAGTTCCGTTGGAGACTGCTTCAAATCTCTTGACAATCTCAGGCACCTCATCCAGATCTTGGTCAGGAATGCGAACTCGAATACAGTTACCCTCATTGAAGTACAGCTTCAATCTGGGAAGATGAACAGAGGAGACCTTTGTTACTAGGGATTTGTAACTAAGTTTGTAATGAATACGTGTATCATGTTACCAAAAGAATTTTAATTATTTTAAAATTTATTACTAAATGCTTTGTTATTATCGTTATTATCATAATCATCATCAACACCATCATCATTCTTACCTGTGTGGATATGGAGTAAAGTATATTACAGACATGCAGAATGGAAAAGAGAAGCTCTCTCGTATGTTAGGTAGTTATCATATCCATCATCAAATTCATCACCATTACCATCATCATCATCATCACCATTACCATCATCATCATCATCATCATCATCATTACTACCACTACCACAACTACCACAACAACCGCCACTACAATAATCATCACAACCACCACCACCATCACCACAACCACAACCACTACCACCACTACAACCACCACTACAATCATCACCACCACAACCACCACCACCACCACCACTACCACCACCACTAGGAGCACCACCATCACCAATACCACCATTTCAAATACCACTATAATCATCAACACCACCATAACCAACAAAACCACCACTACAATCATCACCAACAACACAACCACAGCCACAACCACCAGCACCAGCACCACCATCTTCACCATCACCATCACCACCACAGCCACCACTACAACCACCACCACCACCATCATCATTCTCATTCTTACCCATGTGGATAGGGAGTCCAGCCGATAACAGACACACAAGGAATGGAGAAGAGAACCTCTTTCGTATGGTAGTTCGTTAGAACCATCATATCCATCGAGACAGCCAGTAAGCAATCCACAGGGTCAGATACACTGAAGTCCTCAGCCTAGGATAAGAAACAGATCACAGATGGACCAAGAAATGTTAAGATGTTCATTTAAATCCAGACATGTCCAAGAGATAACAAAGGGATGAATTTGGTTGATAATTTTACATAGTTTTTAAGTTATGCCTTTTCCTCTTCCTCACAATATCATTTAGCTATCACCATGGAAGAAAGCAAAAATAACATGGCATAAACATACTGTAGTCTGGTTGGAATGCTCCCCAGGGAGTGGAGATTGCGCACACAGTGTGTGCGGGCAAGTATTGAATCCCATGACCGGGGTAACATTATATCTGTAAAGCGCTTAGAGACATTTGTTTTAAGTGCTATATAAAAGCGGAATAATATAAATAAGTATATTTTGTGGCTTTTGTTCTAAGCAGCTTCATCATTCCTATTCACTATACCAGTCATTACCACATAAAATGGGTTACATGTCATTTTTTAAAAATCATTATCTATCATTTATAGGTCATTTATGGTATAAGATGTGAATGAGGTTTTATAGTTTTAAAAAATATATGGTTTCCTTATTTTCTCTCTAATACATACATGTACATGCATTCAGATCTAAACATGGGCGACTGAAACATAGCCAAGAACAGACAGTTCTTCCAAATGTAATTCATACGAGTAAAAACATGTAATAAATAGCAGAGCAAAACAAACAAGGGAACATCACTAAGTCAAGCAACAGGTGACAATGAAAAGGGCAATAAGGGATGTCTTAATTACAACAGGAAAGGGCGGAAGGGCAATGACATCAAAATGTGTATTAAAGCCCCTCTGCACTAGTTGGTCAGGAGGGATTAGACCTCCCTACGTGGTCACTGACAGTTGGTTATCTCATCTTATATTCCACATACTAAGAATATTGCTCTACGATTGGTCAAAAGTAAATCACGTGATGAAAGATAGTTCGCCCATTATCGATGGGAGAAGCAAAAAGTTCGTTACACTGTGTAGATATCTATCTACACAGTGCAACACACTTTCACTGAGGATAGAGGTACTATCTACACAGGGCAACATGTATAAGTAGTGCAGTGGGGCTTTAAAGACAACACAGGGAAGTATGATTATATCTCAAGGATGCATCAACAAAACAGGCATTTTACAAGGGTGAGTCCACACTGTCAAAATGTTCCGTTAACTTAAATATAATTTGTTTCAATAATAAATTTACAATATTAATATATTTTTGGCAAACACACTTGAAATTACTTGAATATAATTTGTTTCAATAATAAATTTACAATATTAATATAATTTTGGCAAACACTCTTGAAATTATGAAAAGCTGGTAGCTTTGTCCTCAAGGCAAACACACTAGTAAATTATATGTATGTTTTTGAAGGAATTTTCTACCTGATAGTGATATTACAGTTTGTAAAATGAATTTTGGCTTGAATGAGGAAATGCTTTACATTTCTGTTTATTTCTGTTTGAATATAATAAGACATAATACCTTTACAGTATTAATGTATTTTTGGCATATACACTTGAAATTATGAACAGCTGAATGAGGAAATTCATTATATTTATGTTTACCTAAATATAATAAAACATAATATATTTACTGTATTAATGTATTTTTGGCAAACGCTCTTGAAATCATGAACAGCTGGTAGCTTTGTCATATTAAAATGACAAACAATATTAAATCATATGTACATGTATGTTTTGAAGAAATTATATTCCTGATACTTCAGTATGTAAAGTGAACTTTGGCTTGAATGTGGTAATATATGCTTTTGGGAATGACATCACAGTATTTACCATGAATTTGGGCCACTTCATGTGCGATTTCTTTAAGCATATATAAATTGCATGCGTGCTCAGCCATTGAAAAGAAAACAACCAGTTGAAAATGTGCAGAAAAATCATTGAAGATTTTCTATTCTGAGATTATTTTCTTTCCTTTAATTATCATCCACAACCCCCTTCCACCTCTCCCCCCCCCCCCCCCCCCAACAAAAAGTGTATATATGACTTCCAACTTTCCAAGCTCATATTAAATTATGGGTGTGAAAAGTAGTTATACTAATGTTTCGATCCGCAAAGTTTCATGAAATAAAGCCTTAGAATGCTATTCATAAACATTTCAAATGAAGCCTGCTTATATTAGCTATGAAATCACACTGCTCTTTACAACATTTGAGAATCCTACAACTGCGATGAATTTGTGGCTTTATTCGGTCTTTCAAAAATGGAGCCTACTCTTATTTAACGGAATCTAAGTGCATAACAAACCCATAACAGAAAAAGAACCAAAGACATTGCAAGATGTGCTCCTATACGCCATCTACCTAATTCTACTTGAAACAAAAACCCTACTAAACTGCTCTAATATATAAACAAATACAAAGAACAAAGGAGAATACAAATAAAATTTGTGCAAAACACTAATTACCAAATAATATAAAATAATTAATAATTTCCATCTTAATTTTATGGTGATTTTTTTAAAGACAAAAACTGCATGCAAAAACTTCGTAACTCCAGGTAATCAAAACAAACAAAAAATTCAAATAGGAACCGATACAAATAATAAACAACCATTCACTACATGCTTAAAATAATATTGAAGCAAGCATAATGAAATGAAATTTGCCATAAAACAAAACCAAACTGTATATAACCATCAAACTCAAAACAGGACAAAAAGTTTTAAATGCGTTTTTTTATATATTTTTTTTTTTATGTTGGTGCAAATTAGTTCACCTTCGAATTAACACCTTTGGAGATGGGTGACCACATGTAAACCTGCGTTCAAAAATTTGGGCAAAAAATGATGTAATTTAGATCAACTCTTTGTGTTTTAATCAGTTTTCACTTCATACGCATATCCTCTATTTAAAAAACTTGATTAAATTCTAATGGCAAGTTCACCACTGTTTATATCGAGGTCTTTATTTTTCTTTGTGGGTGAAGCGCTTAGAGATGTCTTTAAGTTATCTACGAAAGTATAACTTATCATTAATTAATTATAATTACTGAAAAACAGCCAATATAAATCCTTTAAATCAGTTTACCAAAAATCATGTAATTAACTAGGTTACGCACATCATACGATGAACGAAATTCCACTAATAAAATAGAACCATATTTTATGATTTCCTGTTGCTATTTCATAGAAAACTGAAGGAAAAAAATATTGCTATCGGTCTTTACTAATACTTGTCTTATCAAGTTTAGAATCAAACCCCTGAGATAAAAACCTGAAACTTTCGCATATTTAAGGACAACCATTTTTTACGGCACAAAACTTCTGCAAACGGCAAAGTGCTGTGTCAATTGCGATTCAATCATTTTGTGGCATGAAGCTTCTGCAAATCTGAACAACTCGTGAAAAGTCGCAGATGTTTCATGCACAGGAAAGTTTCTGGTTTTACAGTATTTATTTGATTTCTTTTTTTTTACATCCTCAAATGTAAGTATCATGGTTAGAAGGAAGAAAAAAAGGTTAAAAAAACAACCAAAGATCTTCCTACCTGGACGTCCCACACCAATGCTCCCTTGGCCTTGAAGTCTGGGGCAGGCCTGGGGCAAGTCTTCTCCTTCTTCTTGTCAAAGAGCTTGAACTTGCCCCCTCCTCCCGTCTCGATGGCGGTCGAGGTCACGTAGGAAGCGGCCAGGTCCTTGAGGTATTCCTTGCGCGTCCGCGTCGCCATGGCCGTGAACTTGTCCGCCTTGTGCACCGCATTCTCAGCATTGATGACTGGATTTTTTAATTATGGGAAGTAGAACATAAATTAATACTTGAAGTTTTGAGTATGTGAAATAAGACCCATAATTTAGGTAGTAAAAATGATAAGGAGTTATTAAGATTCTTTACATAATACAGTCAAACCTGTCTATAAAGACCATCCAAGGGAGACAGGAAAGTGGTCTTTGTAGACAGGTGGTCACTAAAGCAGGTTTGACTGTACATCTCAGCATAACTTTATCAAATGTAACCTTCTAAAGTATTTTCTTTCATTGATAATTTAATAAGAGAAAGAAGTAGAACAAAGCAATGATGTAATGGAAATGTAAAGTCAAGGATTGTGAGTGCTCATGACAGCTTTTACTACCTAACAGTTTGTTTCCTGCATATACGTATGTATACATACATGAAATAGCAGTAACCAGAGAGCTTAGAATTATTATTTTACATTACCGTATCATATACACTGTGCTTCATGTTTTAGAAAACTTACTTTTGGCAAGAAGAAAATCTGCAAACGATTTTGATTTCTGGAAATTGGCATTTGCTGGCAAGGGAGGGCCAAATGATGGGACTTCTTTAGATCTGCTCACAGCAATCCTGAAATAACAAGTAACAAAAATCAAAATCAAAATCAAAATCAAAATCAAAATCAAAATCAAAATCAAAATCAGATTTTAAAAAGATCGTACATAAGCTGTCTACTGCAAGCTTCACTTTCTGGGGAAATTCTTGATATGTAATGTACTAGTACGTAAAGACACCTTTTCGAGGTTGGATTCACATTAAAGGGAAAACATGAGATATTTTTCAGGACTACACACACTCGATAAAGAAAGATTACTGAGAGTCCTTTTCAGGACTCCCCAATCCTCCCCCCCCCCCCCCCCTCTCACACATGGTGCAACCGCAAGCCTACTGTATAAGATATTAATATGTTTCAAAAGATTCTGATAACTTCATACTAAGATAGATGGACATGACATAAAGCATCAGCTTCAAACTAAAAAGGGCCTATGGACCTCACAAACAAAACCTATATTCAGCAGGTTCCGCAAGATAAAGACTGTTTCAATAAGCATGGAATTACAGATAGATTATTTTCTACATTTCTCCAATCAGAGTTTCCTATTGTCTTAACGATATTTTAGCTATCGATCAATACGAGACTGAATGATAAGTACTGCATACAGGGTACATCTTCAGTTGAATCTCATCGAGACACTGAAAGATAGAGCACATGGGCTGCATGGTGGTGGGGGGGGGGGGGTGTACTTACGAGTAGTGGACATTCTCTGTGTTTGGTTCGTGGACTCGTACAATGATGAAGACATGCTGGAATTGTGAGCGGACGTTCTTGGGCGTGAACGGGAGAGCGCCGGGTTCCTGGAACACGATGGTCACTATGTCGTTGCCTATGTGCCTCTTTCTCAGTAGCTGCTCAAGACAAGACAAATGAGGACACAGAAAATTCATTAAAGGCATCGTTTCACAATGTTAAATCTGAAATGCATGGGCCCTACGTGTTTTCAGTGTCTGTGATATGGTGTAATATTGAAGCCATAAAAAAAGTGCGCTTCAAGATGAAGTTCCTCCAGAGTCACTATAAAACGTAAGAGAAAAGTTTGTGCCAAATAACATCCAATAATGTAACCTGGGACTTGATTTCTTGACGATTTAGATAAAAAAAAGACAATCTTAGGATTTGTCTCCAATTCATCCTGTCACTGCTTCCATTCCGAATCACACAATTTTTTGGAAATCATATCTTGGCAAATTGAGGATGCAATTTCTGAGATTGAAGGTCAATATTCTTCAGAAGATAATACTTTGGTGAACACATAGGTGGTGATGCTCTTATGTTCGATTTTCATCAGAATCAGGAATTCAGAAACTAGGATACCGGTACTATCAAATGAGACACCATCATAACATGAAACTTTCACAATTCTTTTAAGGCCAGTCATATGTATGGAAAATAATTTTTCACAAAACTGAACCCCTCATGAAATTTGCGATCATTTCATGCATGCAAAAAAAAACTCTGGTTTACAATATGAATACATATTCACCTCTCTGAAACCATTTAAACATAAACTAAATGCACATGTAGATTGATCTTTACTGATCTAGAACAGGGTCAGGGAGGTGTTTCACAAAGTTGGACTTAGATATTATGGAGAGCCATTTGTAGTCTTATAATGAAATATATTCAAATGCAAAAATTGAAGTATTTCAGAATTTCATAAATTCCACATCAAGAACATGAAATCTCCCATGCCCATGGTAATAGAAAATATGAATGAATCGAATCAACATTTTATGCCTTTTAAAATAACTATTACAAACTATTTTCAGAGATGCTAACGGCTTTCCATAATTGTAAAGTCCAACTTGGAGATAAGTTCAACTTAGGATCTTTGTGAAACACCCCCCAGGTATTCTTGGCACTGGATACATTGCGGCTCCAGGTCCTTGGGACTTAGTGGTTGCTTAATCATCTAATGTCTCTGACTCATTATACAAAGTTGGCATGAAACAGACAATAATACATATATGTCTTCCACAAGAACATGGAACCAAAATGCAAAGTCACTGGAAACCCTCGATAAAAAACATTTCTCAAGCAAAATAAGGGAATGTCACTTCATATTAGAGATTAGAGTATTAGAGATGTAAAAGCTATGATATATGATGAAGACAAGGACAGTATAAGATCAAGGAATGACGAGTGAGGTAGGACAAAATCCTTTACCTCTAGATCGGGAGTGTCGTGGTCGAGTGGTTTAAGGCGCTTGACTTGAGATGCGAAGGTCGAGGGTTCGAATCCCGACACGGCACTAATATCCTTTGGCAAGATATTAACCTGCACTTGCTACTCTCCACCCAGGTGTTAAATGGGTACCCGGTAGGATGCGACCATCATTGTTGGTCAAACAGCTTGTGAGCGTCACGTAACGTCCGGCTGGAATGCTCCCCAGGGAGTGGAGATTGTGCACACATTGTGTGCGGGCAAGCACTGAATCCAATGACCGGGGTAATAGTATATTTGTAAAGTGCTTAGAGACATTTGTATTAAGCGCTATATAAAAATTAAATATTATAAGGGGGTGCAGTATTAATAAAGGGGGAAATGAATGGAACTGAAGTGAACTGCTTAGAAGCATTTCCAACCCTTATTACATTGTTAAATCTCTGTTGGAAAACCATTGTAAACCGTATCTATAATGGATTTTGGACTGTTTATACCAGATTAAACTTTTCTGGTAGAATTTGGATTGGTTCTTACAGGAATTGGTAGAGCAGTAGTCTCTTAACTGGGAAATCCCAGGTTTTGAAACCAAGTCAATGCCCTATTGCCCTTTGCCCTTTGCCCTTTGCCCTATTACCAAGTCCCTCAGAGAGGACTTGAAGCTGCCCGTCCACTGGTTGCTTTAATTTAATAATACACACACACCTTCTCAGCAGTCAGATTTAAAAAATTACAATCAAATTAAAAAAGTAGCTTCTTATCTGCGCATTCCTTGCAAATTTTGTTTTGTTTGACTACATTTTCCTTCACGAGATTGAGGTGAATACACTTTTGTACCGGACACAAAGCATGATATTAATACATATCTCCCCTTGGCAATTAAGAAAAGATGTTTTCTTATAACAGCCTTGAAGAGCCTTGAAGACACAAGGAAATTGTACTATTTATTGGCAAACTATCAAAAGAATACTTCATATATTATTCCTGTCATTTACAATTAAGAACCTATTTGTGGTTTTATTAATTGAAGACTAATATAGCAACGGTTAACAATAGTGGTTAGAGGGAATTTCCATGCGATCCCATTATTCTGAATTCTTTTCTGTTTAAATTCATTTCCTTGTTTGTGTGCCTTGTTTTGCTTTAGTCTTTCCAATTGTTTTAATTGATCACGAGTCTAATATGATATACACTGTATATAAGATTTATGAGGCGCCAAATCCACTCAAAAATGAAATGCTCAAGGCGCACTAGTGCAAAACATGAAAATACATAAACATATTTGTACAAAGACACAATATAACACAAAAAGAAGAAAAATCAGATCAACTAAAAGCAAACTGGAAAAAAAAGTTTTAAGGTTGCTTTTGAAAGATTCTACTGTAGGAATATCTCTGATTCCTCGAGTTTTACGATACTAGAAGGATGGCGCGGCATGAGCAAAGGCTCTCCCACTCCTCCCCCCGCCCCCCAACTTTGTTTAAGGTTTTGGAAGAACAAGCAATCCAGAGTTGTGAGAATGTAAATATCTCAGCATAGCTTTATCAAATATGATAGAATTCAATCGTATAAAATGTACTTTACAGTTTATCTAAAATACTGTCTACCATGATGACAGAATGGCACATGGATGGAATCAAAACAGCATATTTCACCTAAGTAAGTCACGCAACTGCCTTTCAGTTTTGCTTCATGACAGTGACGATCATATCAAGAGTCTGAATGACTAGACTAACCTGTTGTCTGTTGTTTGTGAAGGGAAGCATAGTAGATACATGGAACATGAGCTCCTTGCCCTGGTACATGGCATATAGCGAGTGCGTGCCCGTCGAATCGGCTGCAAGATAATATACGAGAAAAAGAAAGATATATTATAATTTTTTCCTAAAATTCTACAGAAGTATGCTTGGTAGATTAATGAATTATATATATGTAAGCACCTTTCCTCTATACCTATATATGGCATATGGCAAGTGTGTGCCTCTGGAATCATACACGGAAAGGGAAAGGGACGTTACCAGTTCTCATTAGATTCACTTTATTGTCTTTATTACATTTCTTCTACAAATGAAAACAATATGTTGGATATATAAATATAAATATCTTGCCTTGGTGCTTTGCAAAAGGGATTAATACCTTTTACATTGGTTGCAAGATTTGCATATGCATGTATGTACCAAGAGGAAGAAGATGAATGTTAATGATACTTTTAAAAACAAATTTTTATTTCTTTGTGTAATGTCTTGAACAATAGCTACCATTTTTTTATATCCAATACGGTCATCTCTTTTTAAATAGCTATGGAGTGTTAGTAATTATTTATATTTTCCACAATTCACTACCTACTAAAGGGATTTTAGATTATTGTATGTCAATATCATACAGTAAGTTTATTAATTTCTTTAGTGACTGTCTAGTGATATTACAATGTACATCACTAATAATGTACACAGTGACGGGATTACAGTCATGTCCTGACATACATGTATACATACACAATGTACCTGCAAACCTTTCAAAGCAAAAGTTAGGAATTCCTCAAGGCAAAATTAGGAACACAATCAATTAGATATCTTTTACACAGAAGTGTTGACAAAAGAGAGGAATCTAGGATCCATAACAATTAGTTTAAGGGCTAAAAAGTAGGAATAATTCGTCCAAAATAGGATTGGTTAGTATACAAATAGTACCTAGCAGTGAGGGCATTAGTAAGAATTACCCACACAAGGTACCTTTGGAACAATCTAACACGCCCGAGGCGATAGCTGAGGGTGTTTGGTCCATTTCGAAGGTACCGAGTGTGGGTAATTTTACTAATGCCCTACCAAAATGATGTTTTACTTGATTCATAAAATGATGTTTTATAACATGATTTTACTAATGAACTGCTACTCATATAGATGTTATTTCAGGTATCTCACTGCATCACCTTGAAGCGAATCTAACTCACTCTTATTATCCAGCTGCGCTCTGTACTTCTCAAAGTCTTTGAGTCGAATCTTCTCTCCTATACAGTCTACGAACTCATCAAATGCTGGACTTGCATGTTCTATAATAAATCACAAATAGTCAAATGAATGATGTGCACAGGTTAAATACATTTTTGGCAAACCACTAAAATAATTAATGTATTCACATGCGCTCCTTCATAGGCACTTCCACTACCACTACCACTACCAACAACAATAACAATTGTTTAAGCATATTTGTGGCTTACAGCCAGTAAACAAAGATTGATTGATTGATTGATCTGTAGAAAACATGTCAGAAAAAATCTTGGAACTAGCAGGGTTTGAACCTGCAATCTACTGCTTGCCGGGCAGCGACTCTACCACCATGGTCCATTGGTCCATTGCACATTCATGATGAACTAGAAACATACATCCAAGCTCTCTTGATTATTTCTGACTTATTTGCAATGACAGATCGATCAATCAATCTTTATTTACTGGGCTTAAGTCAGAATGAATCAGGAGAGTGGCAAATGTAGATCGATGTCTTGCCAAAGGACATTAGTGCTGCGACGGGACTCACATTTTTATGGGATGTCCACAAACTTAGAATTATGATGGTTTGGAGAAACTGGCCCTCATAAGGTGATTTCTTTCTGAGGGCACAGGTCATCACTAAAGGTAATGTTTGGCAATAAAACAAATTTGTTCTGAAATAATGACCGATCACTACCTCTGCTACCTTGTTTTCGGCATGAGACAAACCCATACATTCATGTGTCATAGGACATTACAACTGAGGAAGCAATAGCCATTAACATTATGTAATGATGATAGTTATATTAGGACTGTATGAGTCACTGACGGAGAAAGGCCCTTACCGTTGTTGTACATTTCTTCTTCGGTGCTTTGTCCGGCTTTGCAGTACATGATGCCGACCTTGTAATGATTTGTTACCTGGGCGGAAGAAAAATTAAAAGACGTGATAAACTTCATCTGGAGTTGATTTATATTACAATACAGTGCATCCTGGAAAAAATGAAACCGAGAATTATCAATGTTCTATCATAACTGAATCACAATTATAATTAATAAATGACACATATTTGTAAAGCTTAGATCCTCCTATTTCATTTGATGCAACTCATATGATGCATATTTCACGCATGGGTGATTACAAACAAATTGAAGAGAGGGAACCAAAAAGTCATGTGGCGGGCAGTATCTGAATTTCAAAGAGAAAATCACATTTCTAGAAAGTTCATGTTCTGTCCTTTCATGTGACACCTCAATCAGGAAAAATGAGCCAGGAATAACAAAGTTCTGTTTGTTTAAAGTAATGCTTGCATTTAAAATGAATTTGTCTTCTTTGTGCATGGCTGATCTTCAACGAAACGGAGTTAGGTCTTTTGTCAACTCTGTTTGTTGCTACGGCAGGCAGCCAGTGAAAACGAATTTGTTTAATTGGATTAAGAAATGTATCTGGCTGGTTCTTTTGTTCATACTTTAAATAAAACTTTATATCATCCTTACCCCTTGTTCATCAATCTTGAGAAGTTGATCTCTGACCTTTGGCGCGTCTGTGGCAAGGCGTAAGCAAGCGAGAGGTAGATCAGGCGCTATGTATTCTAGTACGTCACGCAGTGGAATGCCTCGATTAGTATTGTGTTTGGTTGTGGATGGGATGGAGTCTTCCATGACGGCGCCTCGTAGGGTTGTTAGCTGTGGCGAAGAAGAAAGAAGAAAGAAGGAAAAAAACGTTAAGTACAATAATCTCACTAGTTAAAGGGATCGTTTAACAATGTTAAATCTGAGATGCATAGCCCTAATTGTTATCAGTGCCTGTGATATGTGTAATATTGAAGCCCTAAAAAAAATGCGCTTCAAAATAATCAAGAAGTGCCTCAAAAAAGTAAAAATCTTTGAGTGACCGGTTTTACCATACTCAACTTCCCCAATAGACAGTAGTGTTATGAAACCGGTTAGGAAACGCAAAATTTGATTTCGATTTTCAATCATAAATATCTTGATAGTCAGACAGGCGATCGGTTACCCAATCCCTTTAAACAATAACAAACTTTAAATCCAGTACCATTTTGAGGTAGATGTTAACATGGGTCCATAGCATAGACATCCAAAAGTAATCACTCTGGACCTCAAGAAAAAAGGTTCCACATATATTCAATTTGAGTACAGAGAAAAAAGGAAAGCACTTGCCAAAATCTCAAAGGAAAGCAAACTTTAACATTTTAGACCATAAAAAGGCAAGAATCATACTTGAACAATCTGAAGAGTCTACTAAACATATAAATACATATTTCAACTCAAAGTGTCATAAGGATTGATACATAAACATATCATATAGAACCAAACTCTACTGAAGCTACAAGTATATATAAATGTACAGAATTCAAAATGTGCACACCACCATAATTCTTTTCAATAATTCCATAGATTTGCTCGTCTTCTCTGCAGTATCTCCAGCTGCCGTGTCTAAATTGGTTAATCCTTTAATACCATTATGCCACCTCTCCTTACCCGCCTCAATCATTCATTTCATATGCACTTTTTAAGTTAGTCTTTGCTTAAAGACCTACCGGGAAAAATAAAAGCTCTACTGCAGAGAAAATTTGAACATTTTAAAGGCCATCTGTACCAGTTTGGCTAGGAGGGATTAGACCACCTAGGGTGGTCACTGACAGGTGGCTATCTCATCAAATCAGCTCTCAATTAACAAAAGAAAAAGAGGATCATGGGGGGACCGACTGGCACCGACTGACATCATTGTTTGCTATATAGAGGGCGCAAGTAGCTATAAGTAGTGCAGTGGGGCTGTAAAAGGCCTTGTCTGGGCCAGGCACTTTTAATGGTATAAAGAAGCCTGTGATTAATTGCGATGACTCTTTGTATATTTACAGCATCAATTCTTATGAACTATCAGCCATGTTAAATTACAGAAGATGAAGTGACATTATAGTCATTTTTTTATCAATTGAAATAAACAAATTTTACTATATGTTACCACCATCACAGAACTAGCAGTCGGACATTGACTTTTATACACGAGCACTTGGGCAAAGATCATTTCCTGTGCTACTTATCATTGTCTTTTAACATTAGCAAAGATAACAAAACACTCCTTAACACCATTTAATTGTTTTGAAAAGTATCAATGTTTGCCCTGATGATAACATTTTGGGTTTTTTTGTTTTTTTTGTTTTGTTGTTTATGTTATTGTTTATTCATATATCATTTTGTATGACTCTTTTACTAACTTTTTCTGTTAATGTTGGCTGTCAATACAAACCCACTAGGGTTTTTATACAGCAACCAAATTCCTATTTTTTGTTACTGTCATTATTTTACTATTTTAATAACTGCAACTAAAATGTACAAGTAATACTTCTATTATATTTACTGTTATTGTTTTTATTATGGAATTGAATAAAGGCTGAATTTAATTTAATTTAATTTAACCCACTTTCAACACAGGACTTTTTTTTCAATCAATTTCTTGAAACTAGAAACTTTCCTGTCTCAATCATGCATGTAAATTCTACAGGGGTCTGAATCCAGAGACTAGACGCCACCTGGAGTTCTCCTCCATTATTCCAGCTATCAGAAGTTCATTATCTGTCTAAGATTGGAGATTACCTGCGATGATACCTCTATCCTTGGTGATATTTTAGGGTCCCTACTAAAGCCCTCCCCTCAAGTTCGGCTTCACCCCTACACCTACGTCTATCAAATCGCTTACAAACTTTGATAATCCCTGTTTATCACATAGTTGATTGCACTTGGCCTTCTACTGTGAAAATTGAAATTTCATAGAACTACTAATATTTAATTCCCTGTTCCCCCTCTGCCTGGCTATGCTGATGATCAGATTCTTCTACTAGGGATTAATCACAAGTTTTTCTTACGTTGGTTTCTTTTTATCTAAGGGGTAGTCCATTTCTCTATCTCGAGTACCGTAAATCTCTGTGTATAAGGCGCACTTTTTTGCCGCCGAAAAAATTTGAAAGTTGGGGTTGCGTCTTATACACAGGTACAGATTTTTTTTTTTTTTTTTTTTTTTTTTTTTTCGATTTATGGCGCTATGCCTGGCAATGTCTCCTAGCTCAGTAATCAGTGTGTTGACTCACCACTCGGAAACTACAACAACACTCAAATTTGTCTGTCATCTTGGTTTGAAAGTAATCTTTCTAATAGATCTCAATATGTAGTTTATAATAATAATTCCTCAATTTTTTTTCTATAACAAATGGTGTACCACAAGGTTCTATCCTAGGTACTCCATTGCCAAAAATTTAGAGGATGCTATTCATATCATGCATGACTATTGATGTTCGGCATAGAACACAGTGCTTCTGCTAGGTGATGTGACGAGGCTGGTGTGGGACACTTGGTATCATGAAGCCTTAGACTGTTGTTACTATTATTTGTGACAAGTTCACAACTTCAACTGCACTTCGATGTAAAATGAAGGTCCTTCCCCACGTGGGTTTTCGGCAACAAAACAACAACAACAACAAAACAAAAAACGATTTTTTTTTTTTTTTTTTTTTTTTTTTTTTTTTTCCCCCCCCCAAAAAAAAAATAGGGGTGCGCCTTATACACAGGTGCGCCTTATACACGGAGATTTACGGTAGTCCTATAGCCTACTGTTTCTTATGCATGAATACATGTACAGACGGGGTCCTGCTCCTTCTTAGACGTGGGTTAACATACTTTTAAAACCTATTATTAATTTCTTAGTAAAGACATCATACATCAGTCTACGATTCAAACATCCCAACGTTAAATGTTAGTCAAAGCTATGGTGTAGGAGCAAAGATGTGTCTATATATTCCCTTCCCTCTCTTTCCAAGACCCTTTGCAAGGTTGAGTTCTGAGAAGAGTAAAAAACTGGTTTTGAGTTTTCATTCTTTATGTTCAACAAGTATCTTTGAAATATGTTTCCTGAAAAGGACGACTCATATTCAAACTACGACAAAGAAATAGACAAAGCGTTTGTTCCGATGAAACTTTCAGCTTTCTTTAAATCTTAAAGAGAAGGTTGAGTTCTGGGAAGAGGTGTGAGCATTATCATTGTTATTATGCATGTGTGGTAGAGCATCAGAGATAACATGTTCCCCGAAAAGCATGGCTCTTCAAATGCTTTCATATTCTAAATATGGCATGTAACAACATAAAGATCAGGACAGATTTTTATGCCACATGTTTGTGTAGTCCCATATACATCTTTCTCTGTACAGTGCTTGTAACTTTACCAAGACTGGGCCAGATTTCTTATCATTTTGATGATTCCAGAACCTTGCAGTGCACACCAATACTTATATGCTAGATGATCAACCTTTTCTGAACGATTTCACACCGTTTCTTTCACAATGCAATCGCATGACCAGAACTGGTCTATACCTTTAAGTTCCCTTTAATACAAAACTCTATCATCACTTTAAACATGTTCAGGGATAGCCATGTGCATGCTAAGAATTTCCTTAGCCTTTGAAGAATGTCCGTTGACATGAAGCATGGACAATTTATTGAGGAAGAGTGGTCTGCCATGACGTATATACTCTCACTATCTAATGTTCCGAGATGCTGATGGGGGAAATTAATGATGGGATGTCAAGGATCATCTTTTTCCAACCATAATTTATTTTTTCAATTTAGAAAAGAGATACAGCCTATGCCACCCTACTTACAAATACAGGTTCATCTTTTATCGATGTGAAGTTTGTCATTCTATTATTTTGTCTGTTAAACCGACTGACTTAATTGCAAACAGATCTCATATAGACAAATATTCATTGTTTTATCCGGTTACTTCACCATATCTTGACTAGGGGAAGACATTTTCTTGTGATGTCGCTGATTTATAGTACTTACATACATTAAATGTACACAGCATGTTTTGCCTCAAACTGCTAGTATTACTAACTAGCAGATAACCTCCTGAGGTCATTAATGAAACTGACCTATAATAATGTAAAGTAAAATTAAAGCAGAAGAATCTTCGGATGAATATATTTGGATACCGGTATGCACTTTCACTATTAAAGATAAGGACCAGTTATGGTCATGCGATTGCATTGTGAAAGAAACGTTGTGGAATCGATCAGAAAAGGTTGATCATCTAGCATATAAGTATTGGTGTGTACTGCAAGGTTCTGGAATCATCAAAATCATAAGAAATTTGGCCAAGTCTTCGTAAAGTTACAAGCACTGTACACAAAAAGATGAATATGGGACTACGCACACGTGCGCGACACGTGCGTTTATCTCTCACAGTCCAATAGATAAATTAATTTACCAAATATATCAATTAGTTGGCGGTTTCCCGGCAAAATTGTTATCATCATGTATTAGTCAAAACATATTCTATCACATGATTTTTTGAAATTGGGGCGTTTCCAATACTGGTCTTTACCTTTAACAGGCTTTCATTCCATTCCCAATCGATAAATCTCTTCTCCCTCCTACCCCCCCCCCCCCCCCTCCTCTTTTCCAATCCTAAGCTCTTCCATCGATTGTTTTTAATGGCTCATCAGGGTATTCACACTCGGCTCTCCAGCTAAATGTAGCTCTACATCCACTACTAGCCAGGCCAAACAATCTCCATGGACGTTTTAAAATCGCTATTAACATCCATAGGGAAATCAAGCACATCGAGCCAAACAGCTCTAATTTTTCATTGCTTTTTACAAGCATCGCGGGGA